AAAAAGGGGGGGAGGACGGTTCCAAAAAACGGAACGGGAAAAATTTCCCAACCCTTATTTTGGGGCCAAATTTTACGGGGGGCCAGAAGTTTTTCCCCAAGAACTGGGGGGGGAGACCCTGGGGGGCGCCAGGTTTTCCCCAGGGGCCCAGTGGGGGGGGGGGGGGGGGGGCGTGCTCTTATGTTTTTCATGCCTTAGCGGTTAGACCATTGACCACGCCTCCTCGAGAGGACGGAGCACTGTTCCCACAGGACCGATCGCGGATGGCCAATCGTTCCTTCCTGAGTTGTCAAAGGTGGCTCAAAGGTGTTTTCCCTGGCCTGTCTATGCTATCGTTGCCACTTGCCGCCTTTTCAATCCACTTCCTGTGCCCCAGCACCCATCCCAACCACGCCTTCTTGCTGCACACCACACGACACGACACCTCCTTCCGACTACCTTCTTGCTCACCTCGGGGGGGGGGGGTTATCGTTCGCCTGTCCCAGCAAGCAAGCAAACAGTATACCCGCCTTCCCTCTACCTCACGGCGCTTTGTGCTTGGTCATGTGAGAGGCTGGTCCGGAGAGAACCGGGTGTCCTGTGTCCCGGGGCTTCGTAGGGACGCGAGGGCAATGGTTTTAACGACTACAAGTACTAGCGACCGCCCCCTCTACCACTTGCACACACCCAACACGACACCGCCTTAATTCCCGGCTGACTCACTTGGCGACCTCGGGAGCCTCCTGGTTCTTGTTTGCCTGCCCCAGCTTGACGGAGCGACACCTCTTGGCGAAGTTGAGGGAGCACAGCGTCTCGGTGACGTTGTACGACGCCGGGCTCACGTTCACGAACATCATCACCTTGGAGTTGCCGCTCAGAGCGTCCTGGAATCACATGGGACACGTGTACATACATACACGCATGCTCGAGCGAATCAAAAGAGAGTGGCACGAAATAGCGTGCAGCAACTCCATTCACCGTCGGATGTGTGGACAAATCACGGAGTGATCAAATCACGGAGCGATCAAATCACGAAGTGATCAAATCACGGGGTGATCAAATCACGGAGTGATTGTCGTGAAGCCAAATACACTCCTTCGTGGAGTCAGCATTCGTCAGCAAGAATCACAAGCGGGGTTCATTCAAAGGATGCCTACGGAGTCAAGGTCCACTGTCGACCGAAGCGGTGCCGCCTCGGATCTTCCACACAAAGAGAAGAGAAAAGAAAGGGCCCTGGATGGTGCAACATAAATATTTCACTTGCCTGGAGCACGAAGGTGAGCTTGGAATTACGGAAGGGAACGTGTCCCTTTCCAGTCCCGAGGGCGGCGATGACGTCACCGAGCGCGCTGAGAGAGCGGTTAATGTTCTGGGCCTCCCTAACGAAAGCCATGCGGAGAAACACACACACGCATGTAGCATGTTGAACAAATTGGTCGCCACATTGGCGCGCGCGGCCCATGCTGACTAACAGAGGCAACCAACACGGAATGTGCGTGCACACGAGCGTAGATAAAAGGCAAGGTGCCACGAGGGAGACAAGCTCATGTTGACCTCCAACCAACTCGTTCATGGTGCGCGTGGGGTGATGACCCTTCCCGCTCGACAGAGTTGAGGGAACGCATTAAATAGGAGGTCCGGGCTATATCCGCCGCCGCCGCCGCCGCCGCCGCCGCAGCAGCAGCAGCAGCAGCCGCTACCGCCGCATAAATTCGGCCAGGTAGACTACGGCTTCTCTAGATGTACAGCAAATAACGGGCTCTTTTGTGAAAATCAGAGCTGCTACCCCACCTCTGACCCGTCGCGACAACCGTAGATCAACAACAGTCTACGCAGCTGCTCCAGAGAGATGGGGGGGAAAGTTAAGGCTTTCTGCAAACCGCAGACGGGGAAGAGAATCTCCGAGAGGGGACAGAATCTACGCAAACGCTAGACCGCAGAAAACAAAACAGTGCCTCTCCTCTATGCTCACGACGCACCGTAGTCTGTCTCCGGTGGCGTCCGTCTTGGAGATGCGTTCAGACCCGGCGAGATCGATGAGGTTAAGCTTGGCCTTCGCCACGGTGCCGGTGTGGACATTCGTGCCCTCCACTGTGAAAGAAACACACAAGAGAGAGTGTGTGTGTGTGACACAAGAGAGTGTGTGTGTGTGTGAGAGAGAGAGAGAGAGAGAGAGAGACAGACAGACAGAGAGATACACGGAGACAGACAGACAGAGATAGGGACAGATAAGCAGACAAGGAGACAGATGAGCAGACAAAGAGACAGAGAGAGAACGAAACACGGAGAAAGACCGAGAGAGAGACAGAGAGAACAACAGAATCGCACCACGTGCATTATTAGACGAGAGGACACAAGCACAAACGGCAGCAGAGTACTAGTAGGGTAACAAGGGTTAACGAACGAACAATACACTCAAGCGGGCACGGTCAGAAAGAGGCTTCGTTAGGGGGTCCCGTCAAAAAGCGGTCTGGCGCCTCGAAGCGACGGACGTATTCTCATTGGCCAAATGGTAAAAGTGGTCGATGCCAACCAGATGTGGACACACACACATGCATAACACGAACACGTCCATCTCTCCCCCCATGCCGAGAGCAGCACACGGACAAGAATAGGACGGAACGACATTACAGGGGGCGTCGCGAACTGGACCGTGGGGGGGGAGGGGGGGAGGTCCAACGACAGAAACAGGCGAAGCTTTCAAGGTTGAATACGCGAAAAAAAGGCCAAAGGGGGACAACAATAAAAAGGGGAGGTAGCAGTACTGAGCAATAACATCCATCCCCCATGGCGCACGATTGACCAATTCGTCCGCCCAAAAATGACAGAAAAATCCACAGGAAAAGACCAACAACACGCCTGCACAACAGGCTTAAAAAATGGCTCGTAAAACAACCACCTGTGAGAACAAACAACGGCGACACCATCCATAAACAAAAAACAATAAAAACCCAAGAGAGAAAACAAAGAAACTTGGCATACCTCGGACGTTAAAAATCATGTGAGATCTGGAAGAGTGCTCGTTCATGTCGTGCGCCCCGACCGCGCGGTTCTTCCCTCCCCGCTCGAGCTGCGCGATCACCTCCGGCATTCCCGCCACAACCACCTTCGAATCCACCAACCAAGCGCACGGGGGGAGGCAGGTCATAAAAGTTGCCTGACTGGCGTCATTCGACAAGAACAAACGGCCCCAGTTCTCTGTGTTCTCTTGGAGGGAGGGGGGGGCGGCGTGGATGAAACAGCACTTCGGCGGCGGCGATGCCCAGCGGAGGAGGACCATCATACTCGCAGGCTCCATCGGGCATCGGAAGAAATCATGTAGACTATCGCCTTGCCATAAAGGCAGCAGATAGACGAGTCCGAGCTCGCGAGTGCTGCGCCTCTTCCGTTCTTGGCGACTACAAGCATGCTTGCAGGGTGGGGGGGCGGGGCTCTCGCGGACAGTAATTCTGTCTCACCCCACCCCCCACCCTTCCGCCCTTTCGGACAACAAGGTCTTCCTTCCCGTGTTGCTTTGTCGCGCTAGAGACTGACCGACGTCTATCTTCCGGGCACTGTGCCGTACAGCAGCATTCCAGTATAGTATACAGCAGTTGGGGTCCCCGAATAGGATGGTCTGAACATGGGGGCCGCCCCATATACGGCGGCTTGAGCTTGTCTGGCATAGACGGCATGATACAAAACTATTCCACACATCGGACAAAGCCGGCTGCCCCATGTAAGGCGGTCATTTATTATCAGCTGCCACCGCCACCGCCATATCCGGGGACACCCGCGGTGCATAGATACGTACTGTACCTCGGTGAGTCCCGGCACGCTGGTGCCTCCCGAGGCGTTCTGGCGGATGTCGAGGCTGGTCTTGGTGCTGCCTGGGGACTTGTCCTTCACCTCCGTCTTCAAGAGGTCGTACACGGCCTCGTTGTAGATCTCCATCATGCTCATGTGGAACCTGTCCCAACGGAAGCAGCAACACACACGCGCACGACATAGCATCGAAAGACACACGAAACAGGAATGCACAAGTGCCGAGAGAGAGAGAGAGAGAGAGAGAGAGAGAGAGAGAGAGAGAGAGAGAGAGAGACAAGAGGGACGTCAAGCGGGTGCTGGTTCATCCCTGTTCGTTGCGTTGCAAGTCGTGCATCGCGACGTCTCTCCGGACAACCCTGTCCTCGTAGCACAAGTTGAAAAACATGGACAAGGTCAATGAACTTCGAATGTCTAATAATTGAAAGACTGAAAATTGTGGTACATTTCACGAAATGTTGAAATAATCCACTTGTAATAAACTAAAAAAAAAATGATGAAGGTACAACGGCATTGACAAAGCGATTGAAGCTGGAGTGCATTATCCTGTTCCCTACTACAACTAAACTCTCGGCAGCGGGGTACGCTAGCCCTTCTACCTGTCAAATCTGTTTCTGAAGATGAGTCGCACTACATTGTAGATTGTAGACGTCGCCGGACCTAGCCTCGGCGCTCAACAAGCCTCGTTACCCCCAACACCCAGTTGGACCTACGCCTCGAAAGGTGATTTATGCGCGGCCAAGAACACCGAGCAACCAAGGCAAGCCAAACGCATACTCCCCCCCCCCCCCCCCCCCTCTGTGGCGGTTCAACCACGTACAGTAGCCGTATCAATTCCAGCCTCACCCAGCCCGTACACAAACGAAACGTGTGCGTATGTGTCACGTGTTACACTTGATGAATCTACTTCGTTTTTTTGTTTTTTTTTCTTGTTTCTCACGTGTACGTGACGTCATCGGAGCGAGCCTCCGCGATGCGGAACATGTCCGTGAGCGCCCTGGTGTTGACTCCCGGGTTGGACGTGGGGCCTTCCATGGTAAACGTTTTGCCGGAACCGGTCTGCCCGTAGGCGAAGATGCACACGTTGTACCTGCCGGGAGGGGGGGCGAGGGAGAAATGAGGAAGGTGAGTGCGAGGTGATTGTGCACCTACCACGAATTTGCTTGGACGGAGCGTGTGTACTGTGGGGATCTGCATGCATGAAGAAAATAAGCTCATCTATCATTAGAGAGGCAGGGGTTACACAGACCCTAACCCAAACTCTAACCCTAACCCTAACCCTAATCTAACCCTAACCCACAGACCCTAACCCTAACCCTAATACTTTATCAACAAATCTATGATTCTTAGTAAAAACTTGAGTGGGCTACTGAATGTGGGACGCAAAGAGCGTGACGGGGTTCCGCGCCAGGCACAGGAGTCATGATAGCGTGGCATCATCATCTTCCTCTCCCTGAGCCACTCAAACGGTTTCATGTGCCATGCTTGGGCCATGGTTTGTGATGTGTGATCACTAAGATAAACTCGTGCTGTTTACCGTTGAACAGCAGGGCGGGAAGACGTGCTGGACATGGGCGTTTATCAGTCCCTGTTTAACGGTATTGCTGCTGTATGCGGCAGACCCTGCCCCCCCTCTCTCTGTCGCTCTTCTAACGGTCAACGATCAAAGCAATCTGAACAATCAGTGTGAGTCCAAACAACGCCTGCTCCTCTGCGATACTGGTAGTCGGTTCGCCCCGTATCGCAACGCATTGCAGAGGTCAGAACGATTATTACGATCAAGACAACAACAACAACAACAAAACTCCCTCACCCGTCCAGCACGCTGGTGACGAGCGGGGACACGGCCTCGAACACCCCCTCCTGCGACGAGTCCGGCTTGAACACGCGGTCGAACTCGAAGTGTGTCTCGGAAACGTCCTCGCCCCCTCGCGCCCCCTCCTTCGGCCTGGGAAGGAACCAATCAACCAATGATCAACCAACAGCAGAGGGCCCTCAATAACGCCGGTACGCGCCCGGCGCATGCGACCGGCCCTATCCAGAGGGACCGGTGCTATTCAAATCTACAGAATTACTTGGTGATCCAGTCCGTGCCCAGCTATTTCACCGGCGCTACTTAGGTCTGCCGGCGCTAGTGCACCGGCGATAGTGACGACCCCCCCCGACTATCCCAGTCAGAAGGAAAGCGTAAAGACAGTGTCATGCAAGTAGCAGCTAGCTGCCGATTGACACTACCCCGAAACAGAGAAATCAACACCAAGGAGGCAAGACTTTTCGAGAAGCAAAAAAAAAGAAAAAAAGTCTCACTTTTTGATGACGATGTCTTCGTCGGCTGGGAAGGAGGTGACGTCAGCGTCTTTCCCGCTCTTGAGCTCCACCTGAAGCCAATCGAAAAAGCAAGGGGAACAACGTTTGAACGACTGAAAAAAGCTGCATTCATACATGGCCCTTGCTTAGGGTTAGGGTTAGGGTTAGGGTTAGGGTTAGAACACACCCATGGTCCTACCCTAACCCTACGGCTGCCTTTTTGTACTGATCCGCCAGAGAGAGGAGGTGATGGTTCAACGATCCGTGTGTCGTCTCACGCCTACTCGTGCAGTGTTGTCACACGAGGGACAGCATGCAGTCAGTCAGCGATGCTCGAACGCCACCTTCTCGTGCCAACAAGAACGAAACAAGCTTGCACAGATACCGCACACACAACGACAACCAACAATTACCAACACCACCATTATCATCAACACTACCAACAACAACAACAACGACGACGACGAGACACACACCAAGAACAAGGCTGAAAATAACCCCAACCCTCAACACCCACTCACGACGATACCAACCGCGTGTCCCCCCTCGGCTCACCTCAAGCATCGGCCTCACGCGAGCGAGCACCCGGATGTTCCCCTGGAGCTCCAGCAACTTGTTGTGGATCGCCTTCCGGCCCCGGTTTTCCTTAGCGTAGAGGGCGTTGGCCTCGTCGCGTGCCTTGGTCGCAGACTCGATGTCTGCCTCCAGCTTCTTCTTCGTCGCCTCCACCTTACCATACAAAACATCGCGAGATCGTTTCCAATCCCATTAAGCAAGCAAGCGTGAGAGGAAAATAGACATACCACAAAAAGTGCCGTGTACGCGTACATCTGTACAGCAGCGGGGGTGTCAATCCTGGCGTGTGGTACCTAGCGGCACGAGGTTTCGAAACCGCCATTTAGGGCATTGTCACTTACCCCCTTGGCGCTCATCCCCGCGAAGGCGCGCTACAACATCTTGAAAACATGTTTTTGAGGCTCGAGTTCTTCGTGCCACAACCAAAAAGCGGTAGCACGCTCCTCTCCACTGCTGTATACTGTCATAACGGTAAGGCGCCAAACACTGTCAAGATCAAGCCGGGAAACGACCCTCTCTGGCGTGTGGAGTCTCTAACGAACAAAATAAAACGCCAACCTACATGGATCGCGTGTCCTGTAATATATTTACCTTTTCCAGGGCCTCGGCCTCGAGTCGTTTCTGCTGCTCCAGCAGGGCGGCCTCCGACTGCTTCGCCAGGTCCGCCTTTTCGTTTTCACGTTGCGGCGTCGGCGGCGTCGGCGGCAGCGGGGGTGGGGGGGGTGTTTGGGGGGGGGGGGTTTTTTTTTCTTTCGGGGTTTCCTTCCGGCACTTTTTCCCCCTTTTTTTTGGGTTTTTCCCCCCCCCCTTCCGCCTTAAAAAAAGGGCCCCCCCCCAATTATTAAATAAATTTTTTTAAAATAGGGCCCTTAATTTTTTTCGGTTAACCCCCATTTTGGGTTTAAGAACCCGGTTTCGGGGGGGACCCTTCCCCCAAATTCGGTTTTCCACCACCCGGTGCCCCCGGGGGGGGGGGGTTTTTTTAATTAAAAAAAAGGCCCCCGCCCCAACTTTGCCCTTTTTTTATTGGGGGGCCCTTTCCACCTTCCCCCCCCCCCCTTAATTTAAGTTAAGAGGCTTTAAAAATTTTTTTTTTTTTTTGGGGCAAAAACTAAAAGGGCTCCCAAATTTTGGGGGTTTTTTTTTTGGGGGTGGGACCGGTCCCCCTTTTCAAAAGGGGGGGGGGGCCATGGTTAAAATGTTTCCGCCAACCAAAAAAGGGTTCCCCCCCCCCCCCCCCCCCACCAACCCCCACCCCCACCCCTGCACACTAACTTTT